TGGTTTAAGAATGTCTTGTCTCTGTTAATCCCTTGCTGTGCTGTGATAAGTAATTTGTCTTCTTAAAGAAACACAGCCTTTCCATTGATTTTTTTTAAATGTGTACTTATCATTAAATACGATCTGGTTTATATTAGAGCAACGTTTACATATCTACTAAAAATGAGTGCCACAGAACATAGTGGGGCTTGTGTGTACATGTCTTCGAGTCAAATCACACGTGTTTAATAGAGTTTTTAGGACCCCCCCCGGTGGTGCAATGGGTTAAACCCTTGTGCTGGCAGGACTGAAGACCAGAGGTTTGAACCCGGGGAGAGTGTGGATGAGCTCCCTCTGTCGGCTCCATCTCCCCATGTGGCGGGGATATGAGAAAAGCCTCCCACAAGGATGGTAAAACATCAAAACATCCGGGTGTCCCCCTGGGCAACATCCTTGCAGACAGCCAATTCTCTTACACCAGAAGTGACTTACAGTTTCTCAAGTTGCTCCTGACACACACCAAAAATAGAGTTTTTACTGCTGTGTTTTGGTATAGGATTGCAGTTTCAACTGGATTACTTTATTAGTGTCTTCTTTAAATTAGTAGATAAAATCAATATAAATGTGTTGGTTCGTGTTAGAAAAGGAAGGCCAAGGAAATGCCCAAAGAATGAAAGTGCGGCATTTTCAGTATGACTAGAAAATAGGACAGATCTGGTTTATGTTTTTGGCAGTGAAAGGAGGAAAGAAGACAATGAAAGCAACACACGGGGGCATAGTAAAATGCTGAGACTAAAAATAAAGCACCCATAGCTTTCAAAATTCAACCTGAGGCTGAAATACATGAGCCTTTTTTATTTGCAGGTGCTGAAAGGGGAGAGACAAGCCGAGAAAGCACTAAAGGGGAATGCTCTCCGCATAAAAGGACAAAGAAACACAAAAGGCGAGCCCCATTAAGGCATTTAAAAGCCTTACTTGCTCAGCGCTCAATTACCCCAGTGCCACAAAGGAAGCACTCCACTGAAATCACTGGAGGAAATGCTCATGTTTTGCTTTGTTGTTATTATTATTGTAGAATTTTAGGGAAAACTACAGATAGAGGGGAAATGGAAAGCCATGTTTTACACCACTGCGCTTATTAGCTTTGTGGAAAAACTCCAGCCTTTCCTCTCCATTTTGTTTGGTAATGAGTTAATTATTCAGTGTACAGACATACATAACCAGCAGGGGTTCGGTATGATTTAAATGCTAAAGGCATCTGGGGAGGGATAAAACAAAGCATGTGTACCATTGTCACCCATGACAGCTTGACAAGAATTTTGTTAGTCTCAAGGATATTCCATGTTGTAAATGTTGTAAAATGTCATTGCTCGGTTGTTTTTCTATGAATCTTAAACAGCTGAACACACGGAAAGCTATATCATTTCTCATATATTTTGAGTTTTGTGACAGTAGTATGAGCGTGGATTTTGTTTTGTTTGGTATGCAATTAAAGCTGTCATATTCTTGGAAAGGTTTCCGTTTTTCAGCGGAGGTTTCTAATTTGTATTTGAAAGGCACAAAATATACAAGAGCCAGCATGGTGTACTGGTTTGAGTGTTGGATTGTGATTGAAGACCAGTGTTCGAATCCCTGCTCAGCCATGGAGACCCAGTGCATGACCTTGGGCAGGTCACACCCTCTCAGCCCCAGTGGATGCAACTACAAGCCTCCTCTCAATAAATCTTGCCAAGAAAACCATGTGATAGATTTGCCTAAGTTTCTTCATCTTGGAAGCGACTTGAAGGCAAATAACAACAAAATTATGGGGATATATCAAATCTCATAAAAAGCTTTTATTTATATTTCTAAATACATGATTTATTTATGTCACATAGACTCAGAGTTTTCTTGTTACATTTGTGCAACAGCCCTATATACTGCAGCTGACACATTAATGTGTTGCAACGTAATATTTGGAAAGCTCTGCCCTATAGTGAAACTGTAGCAGGGTCTACTTGACTGATTTGTTCAGAGATAGTCTGCCACTGCCTTTTCGTGAGGCTGAGAGTGTGTGACTTATCCAAGGTCAGTGGGTTTCTGTCATTGAGCAGAGATTCAAACCTTGATCTCTTTGAATCCTAGGGTGCATCTACACTGGCAGGATTCAGCTGCCATAGCTCAATGTTATTGAATCTAGGAATTTGCTATCGACAGAGATGCCCTGGCAGTAAAAGTGATTTCAAACAGCAGTAATTCCACAATATAGATGCATCCTTTGTGCAACACTCAAATCACCACACGTTTGGAAAATGTGAATCTCATAACCATTTGGGAAATGGGATTTATAACCTTTTTTGGAAAACCACAGGAAAGCATGACCTTGTTAGAAGTCACAACCTTTTGGAAAAAATGTTCACCAGTATTCATGCAAGACAACTAGGTCTCTCAGCTGATAAACAGGTGTACTTAGGTATGTCTTTGAACTGCTAGGGACAAAGATACAGTGTTCCCTCGCTCCTTCGCAGTTCGCTTACCACGGACTTGCTGTTTCACAGTTTTCCCTGCGCGTCCCTACTCCTCGCTTTCTCTCTCCCCCCCCCCCTCTATCTCTCACTTCACCTTCTCTTTCCTTTCCTCTTTCTCCTCCCTCCCTACCTCACTCAGGCGCCCATGCCGCCCTCCTCTGGCAAAAGGCAAGGGCGTGAGGGCAGCCCTCCGCCTGGTCTCCGCGCCCTTCCGAACTCGTAAAGGCGCGGGGGCTGGGCAGAAAGGCTGCCCTCAAGGCAAGGCCGTGTGGACAGCCCTCTGCCTGGCCCCCATGCTCTTCCGAACTCGGAAAGCCGTGGGGGCCGGGGAGAAAGGCTGCCCAAATGGCAAGGCTGTGCGGGCAGCCCTCCTCCTGGCCCCTGCGCCCTTTCGAGCTCAGAAAAGCGTGTGGGCCGGGCAGAAAGGGGAGCCTTCTTCCCGCGCACACCTTTTCCTGCAAGCTCCTCCTCTTGCCACCCCACAGCCATGTGGGACGAGCAGGAGGAGGAGCTAACCAGGAGTCCTAGCTTTTTGCCTGGCACAGGGGGTCGGCAGCCATTTTGGTGGTGGTGGGGCCAACCAAGGCAGCTTTGCGACCCCCCAAAAATGGTCCAACGACCCCCCCTGGGGGTCACGACTTCCAGGTTGAAAATGGCTGGTCTAATAAGTTTTTAAGAATACTGTTCCTGCATTGAAGTCTAAACTGTACTCACTGCTTCTGATGCACACATACACACACTGATTTCTAAAAGCGTACAGATAGTTTCTACTCTCAAAGAGTCTCATCATGGCTTTTACTAACTGAAATGGAGTCTGAGTCTGAATATGCCTTGTTCTGATCACATGGTCTCCAGCCCCTCCCACAACAAAGAAATTAGGTAAAATTGCAAACCAATACACACATACAATACAGTAAGCAATTATATACGTAACAAATAACTAGCGGAGGCTTGAGGAGGTTGCTATTTCCAACACACATTGACTCTGTCTATTTAATACTTCAAAAGTATTCCAACCTAACTTTAAGGGACTTCCCTGACATGTACAAAATAGCCGCCACAATTGATGGTACACTGGCAATTCACCTTTTCACTCTCATCATGACCAGATGAGTATTTGCCACTGCTTTAATAATTAAACCACTGTTTTGCGCCTTAGAATGGCACTGTGTTTTATTTGGCACAGTTCCTCTCTAACTGTTGCAGGCTTGGCTTGTTTTACTATTCACGCTTAGAAGTAAGATCATTGCAGTGCCTTTTAATTTCCTTGAGAGGATATTGATGAAGCTCTGGTAACTTGGGAATATAATGGTGATGCAGTCTTGGCAAAAAAGAAGGCGCTGTTGAACGCTGCATTTGCTTAGTTGGATCACAGCGAGCTGTGACTTCTTGGTCAGATGTGCCAACAAAAAAGAGTAAATAACTATAAAAACCAGATGAAAGCGTGTAAATGCTGGTTTTAACTTGGTGATCTGATTTGCTTGCTCCTTCAGTGGTGTGTAAGTCCAGGTTTTATTAGAAATTTCAGTGTCACTTTAATACTAACGATCCTTTTGGCATCGGGCTATTCAGCTGATGCTAGCAATAAAAAAGAAATCAGCTTTGTGGAGCTGACAACTGTTGGGTTACTTTGGAGTCTTTCTCCTCTCTTAAAGAAAAAAGACAGAAGTAGACTCTGCTAACACAATGAGAAATCATATATTCGGGTTGGGTGTGGGAAATCATAAGCTCAACAAATATCTCACTGGCACAGAAAATAGAAAATAATAGAATTCAGCGTATAATTGTATAAACTTGTTATACTATTCTATTTCACAGTAATCACAAACAATATTATATGAGTTTTTGTACAATCACTCAGAAATGGTATCAACGCCGTGTCTTCTTATGCCGAGTTGAATATGAATCAGCCGCCCACAACCAGTTTCGGCCTTACTCCAAGCCTTTCTCTGGTCGTCTAAAATTATTATATACATCAAGATTTGCTGCAAATATATTTATTGAACATCATATACTGAATACATTTGAAGTTATTTGCAAAGTTATAAACTTAACACTTATTATACACATCAACATATGCTGCAAATATATCAATTGAACATCATATGCTAAAACACATTTGAAGGTACTTACAGAGTTATAAACTTGATACTTGTTCTCCTTAGAGATACAGGCTTTTTACTTAGTGGGATCTAAACCAAAGGAACAAAATGTGGCTGTAAACATTTGAAAGTAACATATACTAAAAATGAATGTTTTGTCAAAATACTAACGTATTTTACAAAACAAGAGTGTACTCATGGGATACTCTGCTGTGTGTTTGATTCTAATTGCGAGTATGAAAAAGGTCTGGGAGTTCCCTCAATTTAAAGGGGGAAGATGTACGTGAGATGTTACCTAGTATATTCATTTGTTTTCCATGTTTTAATTTTAATGTTTACCTGACCTGACCTTATTGAAGACTTATGAATATTAAATTTGACGTGATTCTTTCTTTCTTTTTTTCATTTATAGGCACTGGATGTTGACCGAACAGTCCTTTATAAAATGAAGAAATCCGTAAAAGCAATAAATATTTCTGGTTTAGGTATGTATAGTCTACTTACTGCTGGCCTATATTGCTCAGATAATGAAACTAACCAACCAACCAACCAGCCAACCATGTATTTGAAGACAAAAGCCTTTCAAGTACCATCTCTTGGGACACATCTACATTGACCATTTAATGCAGTTTAAAGGCAATTAGGCAGTGCGGTGTTTATATGATGCATGCCACAAACATGCAAAGCAACACACATTCAGAGCTATAAACTGGGATAAGCGAAGTTGGGTTATACACCAAAATAGAGCCTATCATTGTGCCTAAGTATAAAGCACATTGCATGGCAAAACCATTGAGGGATGGAAACTTTGGCAACATTGGAATTCTCCCAAGCCCATGAAGCCATGAATACTGCAGATCCTGAAAGTAGTTCGAGGCCAGCCTGTGTAGTGAGTGTAAACACCATCCAGGCCTCGAACCTGTTCAAAGACTTTACTTATAGTTATTTACCTACTGAAATCTCTTCTTTTCCTGCTGTTTTCACACTGGACTAAGTGGTCAATGTAGATGTGTCCTTGAAAATATTTCAGAAAGAAGTATGAAAAGTATGCTAATATGGATCCAGAACTTGTACAAGTTATTTTTTTTTGGACTGTCCAAAATTCCTGTGCCTACTCTTTGATTATTGAATTTACTTCTTACTGCTTTATATTCTTTAACATTGGTTAATTGGGTTTAGATAAATAATGTGGTGTGTTTATTTATTGTGTCAGAAGTGAATTGAGAATACAGTTATAATTTACAGAAAAAACCACAAGTTTTTCTATAAACATCCTTTGACCAGAAGCTGGCCACTTGGAGTGCCTGTGGTGTTGTTGTAAGGAGGTCCTCCATTGTGCATGTGGCAGGGCTCAGGCTGCATTGTAATAGGTGGTCTGTGGTTTCCTCTTCTTTGTGGCCCCATTTCTTAAGGTTGGCTCTCCATCTCGTGGTGCCAGAGCACAGTCTGTTCAGCGCCTTCCAAGTCACCCACTCTTCTCTGTGCCCAGGGGGGAGTTTCTCATCTGGCATAATAATATGGTAAAAATAACCTTTCCAAGTTCTGTGTAAAATGCAGATTTCTATTAAAACGTCAGGGTAGAAATCAAGCTGTCCTCCAGGTGCTACTGCACTGAAACGCCATAATATAATTCCCATCCTTGAGCTAACTGGAAGCTTGTTACTTATGTACTAAATAAGGTGGATTTGGAATCCATGTTTCCATTATAGCCTAGAAATTGCAAATGTCATTTGCCATTTGTTGGCTAACCGTGGCCTAAATTGAAAATCTAGTTTCAGAAAGATTAGATTGACTTTGAGGGCCTTATCACACTATTCCTGCATGATTTTGTTTGAAATTCATTCCAGCTATTCTTATGTAAGAGTAGCGTATTGTTGATGCCGTCCATTGCATCCTTGCCCCATTTGTAGTGCTGTTGGTGGTGCAGTGGGCTAAACCGCTGAGCTGCTGAACTTGCTGACCGAAAGGTCGGTGGTTCAAATCCGGGGAGTGGGGTGATCTCCTGCTGTCAGCGCCAGCTTCTGCCAACCTAGCAGTTTGAAAACATGCAAATGTGAGTAGATCAATAGGTACCGCTTCGGCAGGAAGGTAATGGCGCTCCATGCAGTCATGCTGGCCACATGAACTTGGAGGTCTCTACAGACAACGCTGGCTCTTCGGCTTAGAAGTGGAGATGAGCACCACCCTCCAGAGTTGGACTCGACTAGACTTAATGTTAAGGGAAAATCTTTACCTTTACTGTCCTTTGCGTGTTTTCCCCCCTCTACATTAATGGCATCATTGCCGACTCCTGAACTCCACCCCCGGTTTTATGTTGACTCATCTAATTGGTAGATGTTCTGTGGCCCAAAGTATATAAACACACACAAAATAAATAAAAAGGGTAATACCACACCACACACAGAGAAGAAATGGCCTGTGGAAAGACAAAAATTAAAGGTGTTGGCAAGGAACTGCCCACTCTTTCACCACAGTGGATTATTTATATATTAAATAATAATATTTAATGGGAGCCTTGGAGCAGGGAAACGGGATCGAAAACATGGATGTCAAGAAGGTTCCTTGCATCACTCAAACTGGTGACTTGGAATGACTGCCTAATGATTGAAAGTTTTTTTTTAAAAAAAAACTCTCAAACAAACCCGTTACAAGATGAAACGAGTAGTCTTTTGTCCACCAGGTGTTTTGAACTTCAACTCCCAGAAATCTCAGCCAAGTTACGAGCCATAAGGAATTGTGGGAGCTGAAGTCCAAATGCCTGGAGGACCAAAGACTAAGAACCAGTGAGACTAATGCTTTGCTATAATTCTCTAATGCCATGGTGTGATAACGCCCTCAGTGAGGTTTACAAGGTTTACTACTCAGTAACTGATTCAATTGGCTTATTCTAGCTGTGGCTAGCAGTTGGATTTAGGCCAGTGTTTTTGGCCTTGGTGCCCGTATAATCTCAAACCATGGGTAACATCAGGAAAGGAAGAGAGAAATGGCTCAGGGAGGAGACAGGAAAGAGTGGCCTCATGCAGACAGAGCATTAAACTGGATTAGCGTTGAGCCTCAAGATCATCATCTGACCCTTTTCTTTTTTCGAGGTGGCTGAATGAAGGAGATTGCAAGCGTATCCTACTAGCAGATTGTCATTTAGCATTAAGACCAAACTCGAGACAGATTGTAGTTGATCTTAAACTGATGTTAAGTGGGGATCGTAGCTCTGTAGCTCAGCCAGAGAGCATTTCCTTTGCAGCCAGAAGATCCTAGGTACAGTTCTTTGCAGCATTTCTTAAATCATGGTGCACATTTGTTAGGAGAAGCAGTAGGGTGTCTGAAAAATCCCAGCTCTCATTCCAGTTCCTCAAAATGCTATGTTCGTTGTGAGAGATTTTGTCCAAGGCGTCTTCCTTGAACCATTGACTGTTATTGTACCAATCTTTTTGTAACACTACTGATGTATAAGTATCAAGCAGAGCATCACCTCCTGGAATCTCCTAGCCTGCATGGCCAGTAATGGTGCTGGATAAGAGATTCTGCAATCTGAGTCCAAAAAAGTAAGTTTCTAAGTTCTGAAGTCCAATCCACACTGGTGCCCTATATACACAGCAGCATGCTTCTTACATGCAGCTGAATATAAATTTTATGTGTGTTTACCAGTTGAAGGAGCCCCCAGTAGCGCAGTGGGTTAAAATGCTGAGCTGCTGAACGTGTTGACCGAAAGGCCGCAGGTTCGAATCCGGGGAGCGGTGTGAGCTCCCGCTGTCAGCCCCAACTTCTGCCAACCTAGCAGTTGTGCAGGTGTAAGTAGATCAATAGGTACCGCTCCAGCGGGAAGATAACGGCTCTCCATGCAGTCATTCCGGACACATGACCTTGGATGTGTCAATGGACAATGCTGGCTCTTCGGCTTAGAAATGGAGATGAGCACCAATCCCCAGAGTTGGACACGACTAGACTTAATGTCGGGGGAAAACTATTACTCTAAACCTTACCAGTTTAAAAGTTGGCCACTGGTGAATTCAGAGGGTGATGGTCAGAGAGGAGTGTGGGTTGAATTTGGAGGGCCAATAAAATACTATATTATGAGAAAAACATGAGATTTGTTATGTAATCCTAATGTGGATTTGTGAATACAGCTGTATCCTGTGGGAGGGAGATGTTAAGAAGTCAAGAGAAGGATCCTTATCTGCTCCGTACCTGTTGATTCTTGCTTTTCCTTGGGCTATTTTAAATCTTCCTCACTCTCTTAAGACAGGTTCTACATCCACAGATAGGCCTGCCTGAGAAAAGATTAAATATTATTATCTCCCTGTTTATTTTTGGATAAATCCTGCCTGCTTGGGACATAACAAACATGAAATGATTTTTTGCAATCAATTAGCTAAAAAAGCTGTCACTATTGGATATTAGCATTAATCAGGATGTAGGGCAGTCATTAATGTAGCAATTATGAAGTCCAGCAGATATGATCCCCATCATGTTTAGGTCATTGGGTCATATAGACATCATTTAATGATAAACAGAAAGTCAGAATCTGAGATGTATTTGTAAAGTTGGTGCTAGCAGAGTGGGAAAAGTGTACCATTCAATTATAAATCCCTCGGGGCCAGAAAATTTCAAATTTCTCACATTCACTATAATGTCGAAAATTTCATCTAAGTATAAAGGTTCCCAAAAATGGTTACTGTGGTTCAGTGTGAGAAGAAAACATCTCCATATCCTGTTGGTGAATTTAATTATTGAAATTATAAAGATTGGAATACAATTTCAAAAATTGTAGATTTCAGTCTGTGGGAGATGCAGATAACATATTGCTTTCAATGATAGCTGAAATACCATTTCACTGCTGTTGATGTTTAAGACAATACGCAAGAATCTTGTTGGGATGTTCCCCATTTTCCAAGGGTGCTTGCTGTCACTGTGCCAAAGCCAATTCGGTTTGTTGTGACAGAATATTGGCACAACATATGAAGAAACTGCAAATTGAGATACCAAAGTTTTCAGCTGCTTCTGCATTTTTTTAATCTTTAAGACTAAAGAATGATTGGCAGGGGGTTGGACTGGATGGCCCACAAGGTCTCTTTCAACTTTATGATTCTATGATTGTATCTTCTGGTCACAGCCTCTGAACTTCATTTCCCACTGCAGACTAGATGTGTGGTCCAGTGCTAATGCCCCTTTGGGAGAACAGTGTTGTTTTCCTGCCTAGCCTGACACTACTGCTTCCTTCAGGTAGTAACTTGCTAGTAACCCATTTGTGTGAGTTATTGAGACCACAAAGTAGGAAGAAGGTTGTTTATCTTCATATGGTCATCTGTAAACTTACACAACTCATCTTCTCATGTCCTATTTCTTCTTAGATCCTTGGATGCTGCTCTTTGGCATCCCTGCAAAATGTGTTTTAGGTAGGAAGGAAGAGTATATGGTGCCAAGAAAACCGTGTGTAGTATCTCTAGGAGGATCTGAACAGTGCACTGCACAGATAGATATACCATATATACCTGAGTATAAGCCGGGTTTTTCAGCCCTTTCTATTATTATTTTTATTATTGCATTTATTATTTTACTGTTTATTATTATTATTTCATTTATTATTTTTCTCTATTTATTATTGTTATTATTACATTTATTATTTTACTCTATTATTGTTGTTATTACATTTACATTATTTACTCTCTTATTATTATTTTATTACATTTATTATTTTACTCGTTATTACATTTATTTTTTACTTTATTATTATTATTACATTTATTATTTTACTCTTATTACTGTTATTATTACATTTATTATTTTACTCTTATTACTGTTATTATTCCATTTACATTATTTTACTCTCTTTTTATTATTTTATTAGATTTATTATTTTACTCTATTTATTATTATTGGGAGGATACGTAAGCATATTTACATTGAAGAAGCTTAGAATAATGGTTTAATCAGAATTGGATAGTTTTAACTTAAATTACAGTTTTATGTAAATATTCAAAAACTTTTAACCTACTGATGCCTCAATTACTGTTATTTTATTGGTATTTATTTTTATTTTGAAACTTTCCGGTAGCTGCTTCATTTCCCATCCTTGGCTTATACTCGAGTCAATATGCTTTCCCAGGTTTTTTTTTTGTTTTTTTTTTGGGGTGGTAAAATAATTAGGTGCCTCAATTTATATTTGGATCGGCTTATACTTGAGTATATATAGTAACCCATTTGTGTGAGTTCATAGGTAATCACTTGAAGGTATGCAACCTGTCCTTACATGGCCCATCCTGTATCTTCTACAGAGTGCTCACCAAAGGGCTGTATATGCTTATGGTGGTAATAGTACATTAGATATTTATGTACAAGGCATTTATGTACAAGGAAAGGGGACACACATCAACAAACAAAGGAAAAGCAAAGAAACGAGAGATGTTATCTTTTTAAAATTAAGCTCACTGTCTGGCTTGAAAGGTGCTGTGAATCAATGGTTGGCTGGTTTTCTTATTTTATATTGCAAGTTGCTAATTGGAACCTTTTCATATTTGCCATGCATGTTAATGATATCTTAATGCTCACATTTGTTTCAGCTTACTGTCTTTTTATCTGTTACGCGTCGTTACTGTCTGGTATATAACTTTGAATGTTTGAAATGATTAAAATGCAAATTTAAAAAAATCAAATGTGTTCAAATGCACAGCTAACACAATTGTAAGGAGAATCCTCCTTTTCCTTGAGCAGAGACCCTCCCTATTGCCAGCTACTGGAATTAACATAGTATTTGTTCTCTTTGAAGCTCATGTGGAAAATGAAGAACAATACACTCAAGCTTTGGAGAAATTTGGAGGAAACTGCGTCTGTAGGGATGATCCCGATTTAGGAACCGCGTTTTTAAAATTTTCTGTATTTACAAAGGAGTTGACGGCACTCTTCAAAAACTTGGTAGGAAATAATTTAGTCCTCCCTTAAAGTATATTATACATATTTGAAACTGAATGATGTAGCTTGAGCGTTCGTCTGAAATAAAACCATTTTTAATATCCCACAAAGTCCTGGACTTTGAGAGATGCTAAGCTTGGCTGTCCTATTAATTTTCACAGTAACCCTCTAGTGACATTTAAGGAAGTGCATTAGAATACATTTTGGCTAAGTGCGCATTAAAAAATGAATAGCTGCTTCTGAAGCTTTGCTAGCTAAGCTTTAAGTCAGAAATGTGAATGCTTGCCATTGAAACCGGATTACAGTGGGGAAATGTTTCATGTGTGTATGTGTTATATACTGTAAATGCTTGTAAAGACAACTTGGTCATTTATGTTTCTCAAGGAGAGGCTTCCATCTGCTTATAATTGAGTTCTTTCTAAACATTGTGTAATATTAATTTCTGTCCTCGGACTGATACCTCTCATGGGGTTTGGGAACAAAAATGTGGGAGAGGACAAGCCAATTTGACCAGGATCCAAACTAAACAGTGGTCATCCTTTACTTATTTATATTCCACCCTTCTCACCCCGCAGGGGACTTAGGGTGGATTACGATGCACATATGCATGGCAAACATTCAATGCCATTTAGACATACAACATATATAAACAGACACAACAACAACAACAAAACTTTATTTATATACCGCTCTATCTCCCTGAGGGGACTCAGAGCGGTTTCCAAATAACAGCATCAATACATGCAAAGTAAACAACACAGGCATAAAATTAACAAAACAATATAAGCATAAAATTGACCCAATAGTACATATATATTAAAAGTAATCCTGCCTTTCTAAGCTTTTATCCAGAGGTTTGGAGGCTGGTGGCAGTTTGCTTTTGCACCCCTCCACAGAGGCAATTTAACATTCCAGCTTTTCCGGCTTCATGAGGGTATGCTTAATTCCAGCCACAGGGGGAGCTGCCACTTCACTGTCCACTTGTGACACTGGATCCTTGATGGAGTACTTCCTCATTCTTACGCACGCTACTAGAAGGTTTTATGGTGTCATAAATTAGTTAAATTAGCCTCCCCTCATAAAGCAGTATCTAAATTTCCCACTTGACAGATGCAACTGTCTTTCGGGCTGCATAGGTTAGCAGCAAGCTAGACTATTAATGGACAGGAGCTCACTCCAACTTCAAACTCATGACCTCTTGGTCAGTAGTGGTTTGATGCAGCTGGCGACTAAGTAGCTGCGCCACAGGCCGGTCATGTTTATACTGAAGGTGGGAAAGAGAGCAGCAAAATGGCATTAGTAATGCCCTTCAGCAGCCCTAAAAATTCCCAATATTCCTACCAATTACAGCCAGTTCCCAAGTTACAAACAAGGTAGGTTCTGTAGGTTTGTTCTTAAGTTGAATTTTTATGTAAGTTGTAACAGGTACTTTTTAAAGTGTAACTCCAGCCAAAGATAGATAGGTAGATATAAAAGCTTTGAATCGCATAGGGAAGGGTCAACACCCCCATGGAGTTTTTTTTTTCTCTGCCCCTGTTCAGAAGATTTCTCATCACTTTCTGTCCCTGTGATAATTGGATTTTTGAAAATTTTGGCTTTTTGTGGAAACAAGGATTGGTGATAAAGCTCCAGCAGAGACACATTTTTACCCATGATAACCCTATTCCAGGACTGAATTTCCCTTCCAAGGGGTAGATTTCTTTCACTTCCAGTTGACTCATTCTTAACTATGAGTCGTTTGTAACTCACCTGTAAATAACATTTAGGCCCTCATGGGCAGGGTGACATTTCTCCCATTGTGGATATGTAATTGTCCAAATTCTTCAGCAGCTCAAAATTAAATGTTTCCCCATCAACACCCCATGTTTGGATATTTGACACTGTAATTGCTCATGGGAGACCAGCCTAATGTTGCTGCCTATATGAAGTTATTGATTGGAAAGGCCACAGTAGACCAAACGCCAGTCACAAAGTTAATATTGGCCTTACTGCAGTTCATATCAACCGAATTAATCAATGCACTGGGTGCATTATCAAGTTACCTGCAGCCATGTGGCAATAAGTTCAAAGTATGGATCGGCCCGTTTGGTCTTTGTAGAAACTGTAAGGTAGAAATGGGCAACTATAGGAGACTAGAGGTCCATATTATCTTCTCAGGAAACCATTGCTCCCCCCCCCCCCCCCCCAAAGATTTATTTTAGCCATTTTGCAAGTGGGAGGACCATTTTAGGTTCAGGAGAAGGATTGAGTAACAAAATAATAAAAAGTTTTTGAAGCACATTACAGAATTAAATATATCATAGGGATTAAAATAAGAACATATGACGATTTCTAGTTTTTCCTTATGGTTATTTTATCCAGTTGCGTTTTTTCTTCTTCCTTTTCCTGTTTTTGACTTCTGCAATTGATTTATTTCGTTGTTGTTTTGTTTTGTAATACGGAGATTACTGTCCTATCTGCAAACAAACAGCACAGAACATGGGATTACATTGCTAAATTATAAACCCTAAAATTTTTTTTCAAAATTTACTGATTTAAAAATAACGAGAGTTCCTAAATTTTGCAATTTCTGGTGGAGGATCTTCTTGTTAAAATATTGCCTCTCTTTCTCCTTCCAAATCTTGTCCTCTTTTTTTGTTTGCATGAATGAAAGTGGAGTTTTAAAAACAGTCCTGCGTCCTGTTTGTATGTTATCAATTTGAAAACAGATACCTTGTGTTTTCCTTCCTTTCTCTCTCTGCTTTGCTGAGCTATAATTTCTGCGGCCTTTGTATTAGGCTATAACATTTCCTAACCATTTCTTGGATAAGAAAAGGCCTTTGCAATACCCATTTCATTGTTTGCTTTGATATTGATACAGGGGGCACTTTCCAGAAAAAGTAATTAAGCACGTTCCTTGGCAATGGACAGCAGTGTTCTGTGCCAAGGTTTCTGTTAGGCTATTTAGGACTGATCTTTGAACACAGTCGTTTCATTTACCTCCAGTTTTATTTAGGACGAGTGTATTATAACAGCCTCAGGTAATTTAAGAGTATTCTGTTTCTGTATAGATGTACAAGTCACATTCATTTAGCACTGATATAGTTATCCTTCAGTCATTCCATCAAGCTCCCTGGCCAAGCAAGCTTATGCACACTATATATAACAATATGCCTGCACGTGTAACATATGCACACTATGGTACACATGAGCCACATGGAAGAAAACAAGAGCTTGGAAATCTACTTTTCCCAAGCTCTGGACAATACAAAAGTTTAGTGGATGGAGCCGATCACATGCTCTTTTCCGTCTGATCTTTCATACATCTGTAGCACATAGGCACATTGCACAATTATGATATGCTTACGTCATTATAGCATCTACATGTGGTGCAATGTACAAATAATAATAACACTTTATTTATATTCTGCCCTATCTCAGAGTGGATTCCAGCATATAAACCAGGGGTCCTCAAACTAAGGCCCGGGGGCCGGATACAGCCCTCCAAGGTCATTTACCCGGTTCTCGCTCAGAGTCAACCTAAGTCTGAAATGACTTGAAAGCACACAACAACAACAAGAACAACATTCCTATCTCATCAGCCAAAAGCAGGCCCAAACTTCCCATTGAAATGCTAATAAGTTTGTATTTGTTAAAATTGTTCTTCATTTTAATTATTGTATTGTTTTAAAGTGCTTTTCGTACTACATATAAGATATGTGCAGTGTGCATAGGAATTCATTCATGTTCTGTTTTTTAAATTATAATCTGGCCCTCCAACAGTTTGAGGGACTGTGACCTATCCCTCTGTTTAAAAAGTTTGTGGACCCCTGATATAAACAGACACAGGCAGACATCCAGTGCCTTGATACAATGAAACACAAATACACAGGCCAAGGCAAAGGCTTCCTCTTTCATCTCCGGTTCTGGAGGCGGTGCTCATCTCCATCTCTGGGGGAGGGGCTCGTCTCCATTTCCAAGCTGAGGAGCCTGCGCTTTCTGTAGATATCTCCTGGTCGTGTGGCCAGCATGACTGCATGGAGTGCCGGTTGACCTTCCTTCCAAGACAGTAGCTATTGATCTACTCACATTTATATATTTTCAAACTGCTAGGTTGGCAGGAGGTGGGGCTAACAGCGGGACCTCACCCTGTCCCTCAGATTTGAACTGCCAATCTTCAGGTCACAAGTTCAGCAGCTCAATGGTTTAACCCATTGTGCCATCATAGCCCCTCAATGTCTCTGTGTGAGAGAGTGAGCATGAAACAGTAGGGCGTACTGTATAAAGATATGTATTTCCTTTTTTCTCTTCAGTAAATGCTTACAGTGACACTGGAGTCCTCAGTAATCATTGCAATTTCAACACCTCCCTTGTATTTTCAAAGGAAACCACAACATAGTTCAGGAAAGTGGGGAAGCTGTTCATGGCAAGTTTGAACTACTTCACTGAGAAGTAGACCGCAGAATGGTTGAGAGACAAAAAGCCAAGGAAAAAAGAAAAGGAGGTGTTACTGCTGCATTATTGTTAATTCACAGTTCTACAGTTCTACAAACGGAAGTGCTTTTTGCTAGTGCAAAACCACCACTGGCTAGACGAGCTATACCTCCAACCCAGAAAAAGTTAGTCGCACTGAAAAGTTCCATTGAGATCAATAGGAAAACAATGAATCTTGAATCTCTTGCCCTGGACACAATTAACTTTCTCAGCCCATAAATTTATTTGAAAACTTTCTTTCATCATAGACCCTAAAGTGGCATATGTTGAGTTCCTAGATGGTCTCCCATCTAGGCATTATAATTAAGACAGATTAAAACAAAACCTACATACAAACATACAAAAAAACCCCAAAACAAAACAAAACAATCTCATCAACAACAAAAGATGAAAAATTATTTTTCTAGAATAATACTACTACATCTTAAACATTTACAGTAGACTCTCGCTTATTCAACCTTCGCTCATCCAACGTTCTGTATTATCCAATGCAGTCTGCCTCTCGCCCTGATCCACAGTTGTTTCAATAC